TGACCTTCCTGTCGGTGTTCATGGGCAGTTAATCACATGGGAGGAGATTGTCCAGCCCTCTCCTGTAGAGCAGCTGGTGGCCTCGAACTGTATGCCTTTGGGGGTTGCAGTGCAGCCTCTTACCACTAGGCCACCAGGGCTCCCTTAGGAACAGAGGGCCCCTTAAATGCTAAGGCTGTTAATGAATGTCAGTTAGAGAGGCTCTCTCCTCAGCTAACCTAAACAATAGCTAGATTTTGGCTTTCTCTACAAGTTGAAAGTTACCAGGTGAGTCAAATTTACGGGAGCATCTTCAGGCCCAAAAAGGATAACTGTTTAATTTAATTAATGATTGCTATACTCTCTTGTCTAGAAATGCTGAAACAACTACTGAATGACTGAATTTCACATCCTGTATGACATACAAACACTAAATGCTGAGCAGGTTACAAACACCATCTCTGAAGTCAGAAATGTCCACATTTGAATCACCCTCCTACATTTATTGGCTAGGGATTTGGGTAAAATATCAAACTTATTTGAACCTCAAAATCACCATCAGTTATATGTCTCATAGGAACACAATAAGAATAAAAGGAGAAAATGTATGAAAGTAGCACTTTTTACATCAGACATAGAAAAAAGCACTCCTGTTGAGTCAATTCCAACTTAACAATGACCCTATCAGACAGTAAACCAGCACAGAGGACTTCGGAGGCGAAGCATTCATGAAATGGTAGCACTTATGCTTATTTTAGTGCGATCTTATTTACAAAACCTGTAAATCATGCTATTTCATTTCTGAATATAACCCTTAAAGATAATTTTGGAGGTTCAGAGGCTATTAGTGAGGCTATTATTCAGTCTGCTAATTTTTCTGATGGAAAACGAGGATAGAGAGAGAAGACACGATACTCTGATGTTTGTGCAGAACAGGTTCTAAAGCTCAGGTCTTGAGAATCAAGCTGATGGAGTAAACAGAGGAAGGGCTTTGCCACCAAATTTGCAGACATTCAATGTTATCATCTGCAAAATGCTTGTCAAAATAGCGAATAGATTATGACAAATGACATAAAGCAACGTTACTTCCATAAATTGTAGGATACTGTACAACTGAGTGTTAATGATTTGAATTCTTCTTCATGAAAAACATAGATCCAGGAACAAAGACAAGCCCCACAAAACAGCATGTGAGGTCCTTTTGGGTAATTTATCATGGCACAAGGAATAGGTCAGGCTCCAGTTCGCATTGCCTGTTAACAGTGGCATTTGTTCTCTGCTCTGCTGGCTGCTGATCAGCCAGCTTTCCTACAGCAGCACCTTGGACAGCGTCCAGGGAAGCCTCCTCTCTGATGGCCTGTCATTCAGGCAGACCTGACCTCCAGGCACCCCAACACTCCTACGACACTTTCTTACTGTCTGGAAGCTCCTGTTGTCTCCTAGTCTGACTCTCAGAGCAAGACTCAAAAAGAAACTGCACTTCATCTCCTTCCTTCCACAATGCAGGCCCAGCAGTTGGGTGGTCATGTGGAGGAAGGGCTTTCTTTGGACTTTACCATGTTACCTATTCACGGTGAACATGCTGGTTCACAAGCTACCACATTCGCAAGAAGGGGAATGCTGGAATTTATTTCAACATGTGATCTGTGCACATTACAGGGCTTAAAAAGAAATTAAGATTGAAGCATAAAACACATACACTTGCAAACTTTGTACAGCTTTCAAGGCCAGGGTCAGAACATTGGTTTCAAAGCCACCACAGGAAAACATATCAATGTTAATAGGGTGAGAGAGGTGGGAAGGCAAAGTAGATGGTAACAGCAGTGGAGGCAAACAGCAAATCTATATCAAAAGGGAGGAAAAAAGGAAGGTCCATCCAATTTGCCAATTTATCAACTGCCATTGAGTTAAAAAACAAACAAAAACAACAATGCTAAAGGATGTGGAAACGGAAGAGAATAAAAAGAATTTTTGAACTCATAGTGCCTTAAAGCTGATCTAATTATATAAGATCTCCTTTGATAAGCCATATACGATTGTTAAGATCCCTGAACTTAATGGTAAAGCTTGTTTTGTGTATAATAAGTGATTATTTGTAGATTGATCTCATTTCCTGAGATGAATGTAGAGTTGAGGGAGGTTTATTAAGGATTTAAGGATTATAATGGGGTACCTGATGCCAGTTGCCACCAAATCAGTTCTGACTCATGTGACCCCACACATGACAGAGCAAACAGTGCTCCACACGGTTTTCAAGGGCTGATTTATTTATTTATTTTTAGTAGATAGCTGGACCTTTGGGTGGACCTGAACTACCAACCTTTAGGTTGGCAACTGGGCACATTAACTATTTGAACTACTCAGGGATTCCCTATAAATATATATAGGTCCATCTTATGCCAACTTATTTTGTTTGTTCCTTAAACATAATTTAGAAATTGTAGAGCACAGGTTGCTTAATAGGAACAACTTGGTAAGGTACCAGGCCCCTAAGAAGATGCCACTGGGAAAGCAATATGACTCATGATTCTGTTTATGTACTGTTCAATTAGTCGTTTCACCATGAATATGTTTTAAAGTCATTAAACACCTGATTCAAACTCAGTCCCAATATTCGGTATTTTTTGCCCACTGCTAGAGCTTATTTTAGGAAGCAATTTTTTTAAATCCAAAATCCTAAAAGGAACAGAGATCTCAAGAACAGATAAGGCTTGCTGTTTTCCACAGCAGAATTGGTGGCATGGATGGAGGGCTGGGGAGAGGCTACACGGCGCGGAACACCAGCCAACACACACGGAATGTCAGAACGGCTTACCTTTTGGGCTCTGCATTTGTCTGGGATTTTAAATCTTTTCTCTTTTTGGATTCCTTTTTGGCATCTTTTTTAGCCTCTGGTTCGGATGGGGAGGGGGTTTTGCTCCCTTCCGGGTCTTTGTTTGGTGGCAGTCCACTAAGGTACACATGCATTTGTTGACTTTGGAGAGGGTTAGGTGACACAGGGAATGCACACAGCGTGGCCAGCCACGGGAGAATCAAATGCACATATGCATGCACAAACAAAAGAAAGAAAGAAAAAACAAGGATGCATCAACAAGCAAGAGCAAATGCATTCAAACGAAAATAATAAGCAAAAAAAAAAAAGATGCAAACTTGCATAAGGAAAATCAGAACTGAAAAGAAAATAAGAAATCCAAAACTGTTTCCATGACAAGATGTATAAACCTAACTGTGAATCAAGTGGCAGTCTTACAATATGAAATCCAGACAATGTGTATCATAATTCATGATGATGTTTACCAGGGGGTTTACAAAAACACTTCATTATTTTATAACACTTTCTTATTCAGTAACATATGTAGAATACAGTGTGACAACCCAGAGAATATAATGCAACTTCTTTCCCTCTCTCTCCCTTTAAAGAATTCAGTCCAAGAGGCTGTAACAGATAGTCATCAAAGTGTACATATTTATAAAAAGCAGAAATATGCACAGATACCTCCCAGGTATCAGAGTTTCCCCGAGTACCTTTTATGTAAATAAGGGGTCATGTGTTAGGTTAGCAAATCTTATAGCAATAGGAGGTGAGGATAACCTTGTTGCCTGTTAAATATTCAAACCTATACTGCTATTGTTATCCAGCTCTAAATGTTGATGTTGCATTTATAAAGTCTACCAGCACTATTGTGGAGAAAAGCACAGAATAAATCCCACAGATATTTCAGAGCTGTATAGCTTGCAAAGATGAAGATGACTGACACAGGTATGACTAAAAAGAAATGTAGTCAATTATAGATTTTTCTGCATGCAAGTTCTCCAGAGCAGCAACTTTTGGATCTGTGGTTGTGTTTCCAAAGTCACCACTGAGGGCTGGTTGGTTTTGGTTTTTTTTCAGAGAATTGGTGCTGGCTGGAGTGTCCTGGGATAATACAGACTCGCCTTTATTCTAACATAAGGCTACATACACTGGGAGAGTAAACTGGCTGTGGCAGTGTGGGAATTTTTTTCCATGCTACCAGAGCCAAATGGCAATGCTCTTAGTTTATTTGCTGGATTGCATTATTCAGAGCATAGATTTTTTTTTTCTTCCAGGCACTGGCCAAGATCTAGAGAAAGAGAACAGTTAGTACAGAGGCAAGAGATTCGACATTCTGGTCTTATCTATAGCAACTATAACATGAGGTGGTTGGATTAGATTGTGAACTCCCAAGTTCCACCCAGCTCTGTGATTAAATTATATGTCTTAGCATCATCTTTGTCTTCCAGATTCCCTGAGCTTGTTTCAGCTCTTGAAACGTGCTTGGCTCCCCCCGCCCCCCTCTACGGGGCCTTTGTACATACTGTTCCCTTTGCCTGGAACCACTCAACTCCTACACTCGCCTCAGTTCTTACCTCAAGCATCACTTCCTCAAGGAGGCACTGTCTGACATCCTGCCACCCTGTCTGAATCATGTTCTTTGTTAAATGCTACTAATGGAACTTTTGTTCGTCTCAGAGCACCGATCTCTACGGGATGCTAACTGGTTGGGAGTCTGGTGTTTTGCCCACCATGGATGTAGAATGCTGACTAGAACACCTGGCTCTTAGTAAGAATTCATTACTTGTGGAATGAGTAAGTGAATGAATGACAATAATGAAAGCAAATATTTATTAAATTCTGGCAATGCTCCAGGCACTAAGTCCTTTACTTGTATTCTTTTACCAATACCATGAGGACACTCTCATGATCCCCATTCTGAGAAAACTGGCACAGGGACATTCAAGCAACAACCAGAGTCATTGTTTATAAACTGATGAGTTGGGAGTAGAACTTGGATTGGTCTCACTGCGGGGACTGTGTGCTGTAAGTCCTGTTTGCTATTCCTTTTAAGTCTCCTGAAAGAACAATGCAGTCAGACCATTATATCCATGCCTCTGGGGTGTATCTGTGTGTTGCTGAGGGAAGGGGATGGAGGAACCTGGAAGGAGGTCGAGTTAGGACCACTGCCCGCGCTTTTGAAAGGCCTCCAGCCGAGTCAGCGTACCTGTTCCCATGGACATGCGATGCACAGAAGGCAAAGCTATAGTGAAGGAGGGTGGGGTCGATCATGGCGCCATTTTCTGCTCGCTCAAGCAAGTCTCTGAGGTAGCAGAGATGTCGGTGACACCCTCGGACTCCATTCCGGGCGCAGTACTCATCTAATACGAACACCTGGCCAGGACTGAACCAACCCTGCATAGGGAACAAAAGATAGATGTTCTCTTAGCTCAGGTTGTTGTCCAGAGAGCTACTAGAGTTAGCTGAGTGTGGCAAGAGAGGCGTTCTTAAAACCGTTGGAACTAATCCTGCATGAAGGGGCATTAACTGTGAGAAACTCATTATGTGTATGAGATGGGTTAAGCCTCCCACTTGCCTGATGAGGAAGGTACTGTAACTACGGTCTTCTGGATTTGAAAACCTAACTTGCAGAAGACATAGACTTTTGCCATCTTTCCCAGTGCCAGTCAGTGGTTGAGTGTGGAGAGGCAACAGGATGACTCCAGAGACAAAAGTCACCCCCTGCTCTAATCCTGAACCTATATCTCAAAGGAACATTTGTGGTCAGATAGGAGCCACTGATACAAGAAAATAATAACATAAGGTCTCAAATTGGTACAGAGCTTTACACTTGACAAAGAAATGACAGTTGAACCCTACATTAACCTTATGCGGTAGACAAGCTTATCCTCATTTCACAGATGCCGTTGTTGTATGCTATTGAGTTAGAATAGACTCACAATTGACCCCTCAGAGGATTTTCAGAGGCAGAAAAATCACATGGCAGGAGACTGACCATCTTTCTCCTGCAAAGCAGCTGGTGGATTTGAACTGGGTACCTTTGGGTTGGCAGTACATCTTCTTATCAGTAAGCCACCAGAGGGCTTATTTCATAGATGGGGAGGTGGAGAGCAGGACCATTGACTGATCGGTACAGATATCTTAAGCAAAAGCAAGTCTCAAACCCAATTTTGTTTTATTTATTAATCAGGTTAGAGTTTGGTGTTTTTTTTGTTGTTGTTGTTTTTCTACTCTGAAAGGTTAAAAAATATATATCAGATTTGGTCTGTACACATGTCAAATAAACACCTATCACATGGTGACCAAGCTGACCCAGACTCAAAGCAACCTTAAGCACTGAGTAGATAGGTCCCTTCTATGGTTTCAAGACAAGAATGTTGATAAAAGTAAACGGCCAAATCGTTCTCCTTCAGAGCAGCTGAGTGATAATCAATGTACCACCACAGCTCAGGGCCTCATAGATCCTTTCATCTTGGAAAATCCTTCTTTCCGTTCTAGAATGGGGGCACTACCATAATTCTCCAAAGAGAACAGCAAGACTTAGTGTTCACGTTATAAATCAACTACAGTTCAATCAAAGCGAGAAGGGCTCACGCCCTACTTTAATGTTTTGTTTTATTTTCATCTGGTGATTTTTTTTTTCTTTTCTGGTGGTGAGACCAGGCCGAGCTGAGCTCTAAAAGAGAACTCAGACGGGCTCTCTGATTCAGAGTGGATCTGGTGGCAGGAGAGGATGGAAACTGCTGCCTCCACAATCCAGTCCATGCCATCTAGCTGCCTCCCAGGCCTGGCGACCCCTCACGTGTCAGAGCAGGGCTGTGCGTGTGTGTCCAAGGGTTTTGAAAGACTGTGGCCTTTGCAGACAGATCACAGGACTTTTCACTTAACTGCTTGTATCACCCTTATCAGCCTTTAGAGGCTCAGAAAGGTCAAAGAATTACTCAAAGAAATCAAATCATGTCTTTGATGTGAAAAACAAAAACTAACATGGGTGGCTGTTAGTAAGTTGGCAATTTAGAGCTGTTTTAAAGATACATTTAGTTTTACTTTGAGGGTCTTCTCCAAGTCATCTTTTGGATACTTCACTCTCTCAAGGGAGGTAAGACAAAAGGAGACAGTAACGGGGGAATTGGTAGAGGCCACAGAAGTGCAGCAAAGAAGGCCTTTGCAACACTCTAAGTCTTATTAAGAACTAGGGAGTCTTCAATTGACAACATGCAGCTCAGCGATTCACCCAAAGGAAAGAAGGCATCTTTCCTATTTCAAATTATAAGTTCCTGCAGAGGGCGGGAGAGTACTCGAGGCAGTGGGCTGCCCCTATAGGCAACTTCTTTGCCACCCCATCTGCTACCCCAAATGCTAAATCTTAGAAACAACACTGCTGTGAAAGATTAAAATATATTTTCTACGACTCAGATGACACCAAGTCTTTTGTAGATGCCAAAATAGCTGCTTTGAAAAGAGTTGAAGAAATATCAATTAGGAACTCAGTCGAAGACACAGAAAAATTTATGTATCCCTGCTGGTCGGTCTCCAAAACCAACTGAAAAAAAAGATTGTAATAATGAGAAAATGGAATATATAGAGAAGGAGATAAGATTATCTTGATTTCTGTTATTTTCCTAAAATTGTGGGTAATGATTAATAGATAAATGTACAAAAGGAGGGAAAAACCCATTTCATGTCCTTCATAATTTATTTTGGATTTTACAGCATATTTTTTAAGCCTATAAGTAAGTAACAGATTTGAAAATTTTATTGTTGGTTTAATTTTTAGAAAGCATTTATTAACTATTCCTTAGGGGTGAATTTAAACACACACAAAAAAAGAGTTTTAAAAATGATGATCCCCAAATCTCATAAAAATTAATGCCCCTCAAAAAAAATTCATTAAGAAAGTGATAAAAGAGAACGATTTACATTTAGAGGCATTTTCTTCTGAGCTTCATAAATGCAATTTATAATTACACAAATAATCATATAATCTTTGGCAATATTTAGGGAACATTGCCTTGCAGTACAAGGTAAGCCCTTTTTGTGTTTATTTGTTTGTTTTTAAAATCAAAGTGATATGTTCCTTTCCAAATTGGCAAAGTTCATATTTCTCTGATGAAGTGATTTTAAACCTGAGATAATCAATGAATGTTTTATGAGATGCAGATTAATAAATTATCCTACATAATCCTGTTTCTGTTTGTAAGAGCTTTTTATTTACTATTTTTTATATTTTGGCTTCTAGTAAAGCAAAAAATGAAGGATCTGGAAATAAAAATTAGTTAAAATAGATAGCTAGGATCTAGCCATGCAATTTAGAAAACAAACAGAATATATATTATATGACTATCAAGAATGCAGCGACTTTAGTTTATTATTTAATATGAATACTATGTAGATAACTTCACCTTAGTTAGCCTTGACATTTAGAGTTAGGGGTGAGAATTTTCTTCTGTTAAAGTCATTTCATTATTTCCCCTGACCTTTCCCCATCTATAACATGGTATTAAAGATATTTAAGAAATTAATTCAGAGCTTCTGAGTAAGGAAATACTTTGGATCTTATTGTAGATTTTTATGAATGCGAAGGTTTAAGATCACAAATAGTCCTCACAGATCCAGTAATGACACAACAGACTGTTATTCAGATGATTTAAATACACATTTAAAACAGGATTTTAGGAAATGTGGATGGTGCTTGCTGAATAGCTGGACATTCAAGTCTACAGTAGCCCAGAAAATTCCCCTTGAGGGTAAAAAGATGCTCTGACGACAGAAGCAAAAACCACTTAAACAAACAAACAAACAATAACAACAAAGAGTTCTTCTTATAAACAATGAAAGGGAATGGATTTATAAATTTTAGATCTTAAAATGAAGTCCCCCAAAACACAAAAGTACATGTTCATCTATGAGGCAGGAACGTGCAGCCTTATCTGGGGTAGGGAGGGAGGAGAACTCTGAGTCTAAGATATCAAGGCAATTTTTACAAGTTCTCCACAAGCAGGTGCCAAACTCGATTACCCTCATGGGAATGCTTCTCATGCAGCAGCTGAAAAGGGGGCCGCTAAGATAGGGAGTCTGGGGAATTGGACCCATCTCTCCCGATAACTTCCTCCTGCTCGGTCTTGCTTCTTTGGTAAGTAAAATTCCCTCAACTCAGGAAATCAAGAACATGTTTATAACTGTAAAAGGATTCTATAATGGAGGGGGGAAAAAAACCCTTCTGACATGAAGATGGAGAAGAGAAAAAAATATATATGTATATATAGCTATATGAAAAGTTCTCATGTTTAAATTACTTGTAGACCAAAGAATATACTTGCCAGGCAAGAATAGGAATCATTAAGTCTGTGATCCAAAGTAAGGCGTTGCACCGTCTCAAAGAGGGAAGCGTGGTCAAAGTTACAGGGGTTGGAAGAGATAAATTCATCCATGCCATGCTTTTGAGCTCTATCTGCGTCTGTGCATTTACACATGTAGAGAGAGACACAATTTAGAGAAACACATCGCATTTTCTTTGACATTTCAAAATACACAGGAATTCACTAAGCATTATGAACACTAGCGCTTTCCCCATTACCTCCCACCAACAACCCCAAGATATCCTGTTTACCTCCCATTGTCAACTTGCATCACTTACTACTGGTGAGTTTATTGCATTTAGGCAAATATATATTGGCATCAACATGTTTCTCAAATGATCACAATTCCAGTGCCTTTATGTTGTTCTTGAAAAACCAAGCGCAAGATCGTAACTTCGCCTGCATTTCACCAAACACTGAAAGCAGATCGGATCTTTGCTTATCAAAGCCTATTTAGCTGTATATGTTTGTAATAGATTCTGCCATTCCGGTGGTTATGTCTAGAGCAATTTCTCTGCAATTACTGGGATAGTCTGGAAAATGGGTTGTGCTGATTTTTCAGCCAAGTGACAATATTGGTGCCCGACCCCCCCCCCCAATTGCCAATTCAGTTTTATGAAAGGTTTGAGTCCCCACCCGCCAAAATTAAAAAAAAGAAATAACAAAACATTTTTCATGGAAACCTGGAGAATCAGTTAAATGGGAATTTAATTTGTGATTTTGGCCAAGGACATTGCTTTAGCATGTGATTACTCAGTTAGCAAAGCTTATAAAATAGACAAACAGAAATATACTCAGCAAGGGCTATATTCTGCCATTTATTGTGAATTAATAGTCTCAATGTATTCACACTTTTCCTTACAGGGTGAAGGCTGTAGGCAAAACCTCCTAAGGGCTAACTAATTAATCTCAACATGTGTAACTAAAATACACTGTTCTCAATTGGCAAAATAACTCCGAGAATTTAAACGGAGTGTGGCTAAGTGATTCCTCACGAGGCAGGAGTGAAGGTTCGAAACAGTCAAGGAACCTATTTACTACATCTCCTCTTTCCTCAGTCTCCTGATATGCAGGGCATACGGAAAAAGAATTTCCTATCAGATCGAGCAAGACTATATTCATCTCGTTGGAGGCAGTGTTCTTTGGGAATATGGGCCCTGCCAGGAGTGCCAGCGACGCTGTGAGGACATGGGAGAATAGACTGCTGACTGGGAGAGGAGGACACTGAAGGAATGTTTTCTCATGTGGTCCTCCTTCTCGGCAGTGTTTTTCTTCTACTTTTGAGGTTAAGGATGAAAGCTTGCAGTACAGTCACATTATGATATCACACAATATCCTCTCCTCACATCATTATGGAATTTGTGTATCATTCAAACCAAAATGCACAGTGTGCTAAGTGTACGCTCTCTTATGTTTGTGAAATTTTTTTAAAAAATCAATAACAAAATATAAAAATTCCTCTACTCAGTTTGACAGAAGCGGTCAGTGTTTGAATGAGATGTGTTGTTTATGCCTAAGACACACACAAGAGCAATGGGTTTGAGGAGCCAAGTGGAAGAATGTCTATTTTCATTGCCCAATTGCTCCATGAGGATGAGAAAACACAAGGATGTGTGGGAATGTAGCAGGGATACTGAAAGGATCCTCTTGGTAGTAGTAAGAGGCTCTGAGTCGAGCTCAGGGAAGTGTCCTTCTTGAGACTGAGGGCTTCACCCAAGTGGATTCCTTTATATCTGACTGTTGTGTCAGGGCACTGTGGAAATGTTGCGCCTCTAAACTCGATTCCTTCTTTGACTCAGGATGCCTGACAGGAGTGCTGGCCAGGAGGCGGTGAGGAAAAAGCAAGGTACCTTTCTGCCATCTTTGACTCCTTGGACCCAGGGACAGTGTTTAAACCTGCTTCACCTTGAGCAGCCTGTTGGCAGGATGGTACCCAGGCGGCATTCGTCCCCCTGCTGACAGTTCCTGCCTCTCATCTCATCTCTATGGCCTGGGATCAATCCAAGGCAGGAAAACCTCAAGGTGGGGTCCACGCGAGCTGCTCATCTGATTTCACCCTCATGAAAAAGCCTCACCCATTCCCCAAGCCTCCAGACTTGAACAGAACAGATCAGGCACGCTGGCGAGCACCAGCTTCTTGCCCGGGGATTTCTCGCACAAGCCTGCAAGCTGACACATCGGTGGAGGCCCCTACTTTGCCAGTTTGGCACCGCTGTTCTATTGCTCTTCAATTATGTGGCGTAACCGGTCATTCAGTCCAGGGACAAGGGGGCTCTTTTGTAGCTGTTAAAAAAATATGGCACACGTCCTCCGTCTCTTACTCTTTGTTTAATGCGTGAGCCTCGCAAACACTTCACCGATGAAACATTTTGCTTTGCTGGCCACTCAAGAAATGGAGTTGAAAAGGTAGCCGGACTCTTAGCTGGAGACCCGGAGACTGAGCCATTTCCCTGTCATCCCCCAACCACCACAACAGCTGAAAGAACACACTGCCACTCATGATAAACCGGGGGTTAGAGAAAGTCCAAAGAATAATTTCGGTTTGACTTACATTTTAATATAGGCTTACAGAAAAATAGACTTAAAAATATCAGCCCGTTTTCCTTTTCAGAGAAAAAGCTCATCAAAATAAAAATGCCTTCTCTTTCCTTCCTTTCTCCTCTCCCAGCCTACAGACCGTGTCCACATGCAGAGAGCGAGGCGGGACCGGATTTGGGACGTCTGCATTCTAGCTTGGGCTCCATTCCTAAAGGGCTGTAAGATGCTGGCTGAGTGGCTGCCCTTCCTGAGCCTCAGTTTCCTTGGGTTTAAATGAGTTGACCTCACAGCTGTCTTTTGGGTGTCAGGGCCTGGGCGTTAACGACCCTTGAGTTCCATCCCTCTTCTCTGTGTTGGCTAGAGCTCGGAAGCGAATAAAATGGGAAGTCCCTGGATTTTGTTTGAACAACATTGTCATTTACTCAGAATTAGGCTCATTACCTTAATGGTTCCGGTAAATTAAGAGTGCTTCAAGATGTGGCTGGCACTCAGGGAACCTTGGAGAATTTCACTGAGCTTGTTATATTAAGAACAAGGGAGCGGGGAGAGGAGAACTGGAAATGCTATTTTAATGTGTCAGTAGAGAGGAGCTGAGTTTCAGGCTCTTTTGGAGCAAGACATGTTTTCTGTTCCATTTTCAGGTTTGAGAGTAGTGCCTGGCACATAGTTTTGGTTGTGGTTGTTACCCTCCATAGAGTTGGAAATGACTCATAGCTGACCCTCCAGCAGGTTTGCAGAGGCTGTAAATCACAAAGGGAGAGACTGTCCATCTTCCTCCCAGAAAGCATTCGGTGGATTTGACCCATGTTCTTTTGGGTTGGTAGTGCAACTCCTTACCTTAAGCCACCAGTGATCCCTACATCTAGCAGGCAGGCAGTCAGTACATGTTTGTGGAAATGATGAACTCATTTCACCAAAAGAAATACATTCACCCTTTCAATGAATATTTTCAATATCTTGATTTTATGGAATGTTGCTACCCAAATGCCAACAGGAACAGTGAATAGGGCAGTCGTGGACAGCAGCACAATTCCTGCCTCCTTGTGGATGACGTGGGTTTAATTCTCAGCCGGTGCACTTGTCAGCCGAGGTGTGTGTGCTATTGTGCGGCTGACCAGGTTCTGGTGGAGCCTTCAGATGAACCCAGGCTTGGATGCAGGGTCTGATGGCCGACTTCCCAAAACCAGTCATTAAAAACCACAGCAGCGTGATCCTAGCGTGCATGGAAGTACCACGACCAAGGGGCCAAAGGACAGAACAATAGCCGTTCTCATTAGGTGCATGGTGTGAGGTTGCCTGCTTAATGTTTCTACAATCCATTTTCCACATAGATAAATCGAGGCTAGCATTCAAATCAAAGCTCAGAGGAGAGGAGCTGATGCGAACTGCCAACACAGCCCGTGGAATGACTACCCCACTCAGTGCTTACGAAGTACTAGCTGGTAGTAAAAGAGGGAGCTCAGGAGGCCTGGGAGTTAGAGCAGTCAGCTGTGAACTTAAAGGTCTGCAGTTAGAACTCTCCGTGGGAGGGAGATGAGGCAATCTGCTTTCACAAAGATTACAGCTCTAAGAACCAACCTGAAGGGACAATTGCCCCTCATCCTACAAGGTCACTATAAGTCAGAACCGACTCCATGACGGTAATGACAGGAGTCCAAGAGGAGGCTTCTGAGTGTTCCTGAAGTAAATCTTTCCTAGGGTCTCAGCAAGAAGAGTGTCTGCATTTATAGCAAACGTTCCATCCCATCCTTGCTTCTCAAGTGGTGCTGTTTACAGGAAGCTGAACATTTCCCCTCATGTCTGTGTTTTATTTCCTGCCTCTGTTGTGTTTTTGCTGGGTTATGTTTCAGTCCCCCCATTGTCAAGTGGAGAATACATCTATTCAAATGCACAGACAACAGAACTGTGGGTAGATAATATGTTCCTTGAGGGCAAGTGTCTGATTTGTTATTTCCTCTGCCAGCTCCAGAGGAGCCAGGTCCTTAGGAGGTGTTTATTAACCGACTTGTTCTGACACTTTCATCCCAGGAAACTTCTCGTAGACTTTATTAAAGAGTCACACACATGGGGATTCAGATGGTATCTCGAAAATCCGAAAGTGGGAACATGTGCTCTTAGAGGGGAAAAAAGCCGTATCGAAGGAAACAGAACTCTAGGTGCAGGTGTCTTTGGATACCATTCAGATTGTCTGTCTGTGTCTCCATACATGTCTAGGACCATATGCATTACATATGTTGTCTATTTTAAAATAAAACACTGCAGTGGTCCAGCTGTTCCAAATTCTGTTTCAAAGAACTTGTGGGTGCTTCCCAGGCAACACCATATAGTCATCCTTGCACTGTCCCAGTCTGCTCTTCTACATTGCTGAACATAAAAAAAAAATGTTCCTTGCATCTCCATTTCTCTCTGTACAAACAATTGGGATTGGCTGGTGAGAGAGAGAGAAAAAAAAAAGTCTAATGTTGACGTTAAGAGGGTGAAAAGGGCCCAGAGTAAAAGTATGAGCGAGTTGATTCCTGAATTCAACACACTTTGAGACCACCTCCTTTGCCAGTATTTG